AGCCCAGGAGGAGCTGGAGAGCTTGGGGGGCTGTGTCCCTGTGGAGTGGCATGAGCAGGGAGACTGTGCCCTGGTCCCCTGCAGAATGGGGGCCCCTTCACAGGAGTCTCTGGGAGTACGCTGGGTCTGGCCAAACCTGCTGCTGCCGCCTCTGCTATGCCAGGTGCTCTAAGCAGGGACTGCGCTGCTGGGGGTCGGGAGGTGCTGCCCACTGAGGCTCAGGGGGAAAAATGATGGGAAAATGACTCTAAGCCTTTGACCCAAGGGCTTAGAGTCATTGTTGAGGCGGCAGAAAGATGGAGCAAGCGCCCCGACCCTGTACTAGGATCAGTGCCAAGTTTCTGATTTTAAAATAAGGGTCTCTGGAGACTTACCGAGGCCATTCTCCTCTCAGATTCACTGCCTGTGGTTCAGCCTTCGTTGCACTGCAGAGTTTTATTTTCCCTCACCTGGGCCCAGGTGCACCTGTGTCATAAATGACGGGCATCAAAGTTCACACCAAAACAGCTGTGTCCCCTGCAGGGTGGGGTCGGCCCAGTAGATGCAGAGACTCAGGCATTAAGCACAGGAGACTTCAGAGTTCAAGCTCAGAGTCTAAAGGGGCATTAGGTGAGTCTGAGCTGAGGGAAAGAGGGGCTCAAGCAAGGCAGGTGCATGGGGGGCACAGAGGGCAGCAGACAAGGAGGGAGCAGAAGGCCCAGACCCAGCAGAAACCTGCCCGGCCTGAGCCGGGAAACAGAACTCATAGGGTCAGAGAGACAGAAGCCCACCCCCCTTCCCCACAGACACACGCCCCCGGGTGCCCCATCTGAGCCCCATTACAGCTAGAGCCCAGACTGGCACAGGGTTGCTGCGGGAAATGGCTGATTCGGGAGCCCGTGATGGAGCAGAAACCCCAAACCTCCTCCCTCAGGCTGGGATCTGGGCTTCCTCAGGGTCTGGGGAGGAAGGAAACAGAGCAAAAAGGGGAGAGGGTGGGACAGAGGGTGACAGGGGTGAGGGTGGCACAGGGGAGTGGAGGAGCAGCAGTTGTACCCCAGGGCCTGCAGGTGACAAGGTGCTTTGATGAAATCGCTGGCCGGGCCTGTCATTAAGGAGCACAGCTGACTGGTGCAGCGCTGCCCCTCAGCCCCTGACAATCAAAGGGGACACCCTGCTTTCCCTCAAGAACAGGCGCCTGTTGCCCCTAAGCCCACAGGCCATGGGGACGATTTTTAGCACTGGGGTGAAGGTGTGAAGGAGTGACAGATCTGTGGGGACAGGATGGCGTCTCTGGCTCCTGTGTACTTGCACCCCACACGGGAAGAGAGCAGTGCTGCCCTGGAAGTCAGGAGAGCCCAGGCTCCTCAACCCCTCTGGCCCACACCCCAGAAACACACACCCAGACCCAGTGGAAACCCAAATTCAGTCCTGCCTGGTGAGGAGGGAGAATGTAGGTCCCAGGTGACTCCCCACCAGCCACCAAGTTCTCTCAGTTCTCTCCTATGACATCCCCACTGCAGAGAACCCCCCGCAGTGACTCCCCCCAGCAGAGACCCCTACAGGAGAGACCCCCACAGCAGAGTCCCTTCACAGCCATCACAGCTGCCAGGTACCTACCCCTGGTGAACAGGCTGAGGCAGGGTCTCCCTGGAGGATTAGACAGTAAGATGGAAATAAGAGACAGCAGGGGTGCAGCGCCAGGCTCCGGACTGGTTCTGACTGCCTTTCACTCTCCAGTAGCAGAGCTTCAAACCAGTGATTATTAGGGAAAGGGCTGAGTCCCTCCTAGTCATGTTCCTGAAAGCAACTTCCCTTTTCTGTCTTTGCCTCATCCAACCTCTTTTCAAACAGGAAAGGACCCGCTCTGCTGCTGTGACTAGAGCTGTCCACCCTACGTGATCAAAGTAGGGTGGAGTAAAGTGCAGGAGACCCCGGGGGGGGGGGGTGTTCCAGCATCAGGCCTTTTGTTGGAAATGTCTGAAATGATTCCAGACCAGGCAGTGTGGGGAAACGACAAGAAACACACAAAGGGGATAAGAAACACAAAGGACAGTGACAAGAAAAAGAAAACTCAAAGGGAAAACACAGAACTGCTTAGAGATGGAAACCACCCACGATATGGCAGTGAGCGGGTCCTAGCGCCCTTTGAATTCATTTGACCCCTCCAGGGAATGCGGAAGTGCTGACCCCAAAGGCCTTCAGGCACCTCTGCAGGACTGGACCCTGGAAGCAAACGGGAAACTACCCAGAAGGGCAGGATGCGGGTGGGGACACGTGCAGGAGCCCCGGCTGCTCCCTGGGACATGTATGTTTCTCCCCACCAATCCACCTCCAAACACTGAGCCCTTAGCACCTCCGGACCTCGCCCATAAACCCAAAGAAAAATATCCCACCACATGGAAGACAGACGCCCAGCTCAGGTGTGTTGAACATGCGATCCAGGCAAGGCCCTGAGTCAATCTCGAGCCCTGGACGGCCCTGAGCACTGTGAGAAGCAGCCCCTCCCACAGTGGAATCACAACTTCCACAATAAAAACGACCCCACAGCCCAGCCTCGGAGCATGCCTTCTAAGGTGCCCTTGGTGGGAGCAAACAGTGGGACTCTAGTGCAAGGAAGGCAGGGCAGTGGGGAGAGGAAGCACTTCCTGTGCCCAGGGGGTTGGAGGAGGTCTAGACTGAGGCTCACTTCCTGCAGTTTTAAGTGGTTGTTCTGGAAACATAGACACTGTGAGCTCCCGATTCTGATGGTATTCCAGAAGTTGCTGTTTTTCGAAAGCGAAAGTTCTGAACACAGACTCCCCAAAGTCAATTCCCTGTGCTCTGGCCTGTGTCACCACCCAGAAATCCAACTCCTGCATTTGGAAAGTTGGGGTCACTCACTGTTCCTACTGCCCAGCTGGTTGCAAAGTTACAGTAGGAGCTTTCAAGGGTGCTGGGGCAGGTCAGGGGGAGCCTGTTCCTGAGGCAGGAGCAGAGCAGCTGAGGGGGCACTCCAGGGTGTAGGAAGCAAAGAAAAAGGCCCAGTTTGGTGTGAGGGCAGGGCTGCTCTCCTGTCTCTACCCCTTGAATCATCTTTCTGGGCCTCTCTCAGTGTGTCCCACTGACACAGAGCAGGGACAGAGGAGGGGGATGGGGTTCCTCCCTGAGCCGCCATCCTGCCCCACCCAGGCCAAGAAGCTCTGGCACCATCACCCCTAGGATTGTCCCCACAGTCCCCACTCACTGAACTGCCCAATGGGGGTCGAGTGTCCGTGGGGTCTCAGGCAGTGCCCCTGGCTCAGGATGTGGTGCCACGCAGACCCGGAGGTTCTGGGGACAATGATGTCTGAGTCTCTAAGGACATACCCAGAGCTGTTCTGGGGCCTTGAGACAAGGCTGGAGCCACGGCGAACCCACTGCTGACTCTGCGCACAGCCTCACCTGACATTCTCTCCTGCCCGCCCAAACCCGCCATTTCTAATGGCACAGTTTTTGAACATTTACCAAAGTCACTTTCCCTCCAAGCAGATATCTAGGAGAAGGAGAAGGAAGAGGAGGATAATGATGATGAGGAGGAGGAGGAGGAGAAGGAAGAGGAGGAGGAGGAGGGGGAGGAGGAGGGGGGAGGGGGACGAGGGGGACGAGGAGGAGGGGGATGGGGAGGAGGAGGAGAAGGAGGAGGGGGATGGGGAGGAGGAGGAGAAGGAGGAGGGGGATGGGGAGGAGGAGGAGAAGGAGAAGAAGAAGAAGAAGAAGAAGAAGAAGAAGAAGAAGAAGAAGAAGAAGAAGAAGAAGAAGAAGGAGGAGGAGGAGGAGGAGGAGGAGTAGGCGGAGGAGGAGGAGAAGGAGGAGGAGAAGGAGGAGGAGGAGGGGGATGGGGAGGAGGAGGAGGAGGAGAAGGAGAAGGAGAAGGAGAAGAAGAAGAAGAAGAAGAAGAAGAAGAAGAAGAAGAAGAAGAAGAAGAAGAAGAAGAAAAAGACGAGGAGGAGGAGGAGGAAGAGGAGAAGGAGGATGAGAAGGAGAAGAAGAAGGAGAAGGAGGAGGAGGAGAAGGAGGAGGAGGAGGGGGATGGGGAGGAGGAGGAGAAGGAGAAGGAGAAGGAGAAGAAGAAGAAGAAGAAGAAGAAGAAGAAGAAGAAGAAGAAGAAGAAGGAGGAGGAGGAGGAGGAGGAGGAGGAGGAGGAGGAGAAGGACAAGAAAAAGAAGAGGAAGAAGAAGAAGAAGAACAAGAACAAGAACAAGAACAAGAACAAGAAGAACAAGAACAAGAAGAACAAGAAGAACAAGAACAAGAACAAGAAGAACAAGAACAAGAACAAGAAGAACAAGAACAAGAACAACAAGAACAATAAGAACAACAAGAACAAGAAGAACAAGAACAAGAAGAACAAGAACGAGAAGAACAAGAACAAGAGGAACAAGACCAAGAGAAAAGAAAACTTAGTTTGCAAACAAGGTGGGACATGGAAACTCCTCTTTGAAGAGAGGCATTGCTGCCACCACACGGTCACACCACGAATCTCTCGAGGGTGAAGTCCAAACTTCCAGCTAAATATTCTCCAGGCACCCAGATGGATGCTACCCCTGCTCCTATCCAGGCTGACCCACCAGCAGCCAATCAGAGGCTCAGTGTGGGGGCGTTCAGCCAATCATGTTCTCAGGGGATTGGGCGGCAGCCTGTGGGTGGGTGGGGGGCGTAGTGGGGTCCGCTGGACAGAGGCCCCTGGGAGGCCTGTGCAGGACCCTGTGGGAAGAAGCAGGAGCCCTGGGCGGGAGCAGGGGGAGCCACAGAGGAGAGAGAGGAGAGAGGGAGAGACGGGAGAACCGAGAAAGCGGGCGCATTCTGCAGGGGCAGCAGGAGCAGCGGGCACCGGGGCCACACCCGGTGACAGCCTCGTGGACACACAGCTCGGGCCACGGGCCCTGGGTCCTGTTCCTGCCCATCCTGTCCCCGTGCATCTGTTAGAAGGACCCGCGTCCTGCAGAAGAAAGACGGACACAGATGCAGACCCCGGAGTCCAGCCCTTTATTGCTCTTTGAGCCACCAACAAGGGAGAGACAGTGTGGGACGGGGATCGGGGATCGTCGGGTGGGGACGGACGTTCCTGCTGAGCCGGAAAGGGATGGAGTCGGCTGAGAGTCCCCTGAAGAGAGAGAGTGGGTCGCCTTGTCACAGGGACACGAGTCCCACCTGGGCTGCCCTCCTAGCCCAGCTCCAGCCCTTCCCCCAGAGGCACTCCCGCCCCCTCAGCCTGGGGCTCCCTAAGGAGCTTTGGAGCTCACACACTGGGGTCCAGATGGGCTGCGGAGTCCCCACCTGCACTACCTAAAATTAGTCCGAAGGGTTCATCAGGGTGACCGAGAGGCCAGATCCAACCCTCTTGGCTAGGACGGATGTCGGGTTCGAGGTTCTTACCACAATCCTGCTACAGTCTGATCCGCATTACAGTGCAGGCTGCTACAGTATTATCATGGCGCCCACTGTTACGATGACACCGGCCAAAACACCGAGCGCATGCAAAATCTTTCTTCTGACCTGCAGCAGGAACCAGGGGGTCACCGGTATGAGACTCTGGCCTCCACGCACATACCCGCAGACATCACCCAGGAGGGACCAGCTGACCCAGGTCCTCTTCAGTGGAACCCAGGGGGAGCAGAGAGGCCGGGAGGGGCTCCCGAGGAGGCAGTACCCTCATAAGAAGGAGTTGCTGCCCGGCGGGGAGCAGCAGAGGGAGAGGAGCTGTGGGTGTCTTCTGTGGACACTCGGGAGGGACACGCAGGCCTGGAGCTGGCACAGGCGGAGGAAGTCAACAGGGGGGCACTGTGGGGACGAGGGGAGTGCTCTGAAGTCTCGGTCAGGGCTGGCCAACCAAGACTGGGGAGCAAGGGGGATGCTGAGGCACCAGAAATAATCCTATCCGGGTTCTCAGCCCCCTGCAGCCCCAGTGGCCGCTCAGGTTCACCTGCTGAACGAGGGCTGGGACTATTTGTTCCTCCAGAGATGAAGCTCTCACTGGAGTTATCACCCAGGTATCATCAGGGAGAGAGTCCTGGAGTAGAAATGGATCTTGAAAGAGGTGGGAATGCAGCATGATACAGGAGACAGAGGGTATTCCCTGGGGTGAATGTTCTGAGCAGAGCAGCAGTCATCCTGAGGCAGCCCTTGTCCACCCAGGTGTAGCAGGAGGCCTTGGAAACCTGGCAGTAACAGCAGGAACTGCATGCTACAGGAGTTGTTTGTCTTGGCTGCCTCATAACCCTCTTCATAAATCTCTGATGCTCCCACTCACAGCGGGAAGACTGAAGTTACAGAATAAAGGACTGGCCCATAGTCGCACAGATGATTCTCAGGGAACTCAGGGTATCAGAGAGAGGGTAATAACATCCTAAACAGGGACCAAAGAGAATATTGCAAAGGAGAACACAGAGCATATGTCTGTGGCATTGGGTATTTCAGTCAAGGGAGAGAAGAAAACAACCACACTCCAGGGGTAAGAGGAAATGGTTCAGGGACAAAGACAGCTGCCCTGCAAGGGTGAGACCAGATGTACTACACCACCACAACTAAAGGATTGATTAACCCGAGTGTGTGTGTGTGTGTGTGTGTGTGTGTGTGTTCACAGCATCTTCTCAGACAAGCTCATAGAGACTGTCAACAGCACAGTTGTGGTGCTCTGAACAAAAGCCACTCATCAAAGTGGCCCGACACAGCTCATGGGTTGGGGGAAGCACCCAACTGTGACACTGACCAGTAGACAGTGAGCCTGAGTGCAGGGTAAGGGGATGCCTGAGCCGTGGGCAGTGCCAGTGGCCCAAACCACCTCCTCTGCCAGGTCTCGCTCCCCCCAAGTCCTCTACTGTTTTCTCTCCTGTCACATATAGAATTGCTCTGCCTGCCCCTGAGGAGCTCGGGGTGTGGCCCAGGGTCTCCCGCATGCCAGGCATGTGCTCTGCCTCTTCACCCACAGCCCGGCCCTTCCTCTATCTAATCCTCACAGCCCCCATACCCTGGGCGCTCAGCTCCCTTGGCAGAGTGAGATTCAAGCCAAAAGCAAAACTGTTCTCCATTGTGGGGCAACCTCTCCCTACCTCCTTCTGAGACAGTCAAGGCCTCTGTGGCAGTTGACCTGGGGTCAGAACCCATCTATAGGGCAAGGCTTGAGTTTTGATGATACCTTGAGCACTGTGGGCCTTTCTTTTTCCAACTGTGTAATGGGTGAGAGAAACTGCTTCTCATAAGTGGGTCCACACAGACCCATCTCAGAGTCTGAGCTGATACTCCCTACCTGATAGTGATAGTGACATCTGGGGAGGGGAACAGTGGCTCTCTGTCTGGCTCATGGCCAGATGTCTGTCTGGCCCAGGACGGTTAGTGGGGACCTGCTCGGGGCGAGGGAATGGGCTGAGGACGCACCTGGTCGGAGATGGGTTCTCCGTAGCGCAGTTCCATGACGAAATGCTCACAGTTCTCATGGGTGAGACTGTAGGGCCTCTCCTGTCCCACCTGCTCCAAGGCCTTTTGGACGATCTCCTCAGGAGATCGCGCTCGGCGCTTACCATCATGTTTGTTATTGACCCGGTACTCGCACCCCTCGGCCACCTTCGACAGCAGCTCCATCTTCACCATGGCTCGGGTGCCCGGGACAGATGCCGCCACAAACAAATTTCCACCCGGAATCTCATTGTCTATGGGGGTCACAAGAGAGAACTCAGGGTCAACCCTGCACAAATGCCAGGGAATCCAACAGCCCAAGTAAGTCACCGCGTGGCCCCTATCCCCACAGAGGGGGTGAGCCCAGAAAGGTTGACAACCCCCAAATTTAAGCCACAGTGGGACCCACTGGGCCTGGGACTCTAGCAAAGGCTTTGGAGTCCCCGGACTCTCTTTCCCTCATTTCTTTTCTAGGGGACAGAAGGAAGCTGGAAGGAACCGGGTCTCCCACACAGCCATGTGCTCCTCCCTGACCCAGGCCCCCCGCTCACTGCTGGTTCTGAAGTAGAGACTGGGAGTTCTTTATATGCCCTGACGCAAATGTTGCTGGAACTGTCACCTGAAGCTGGATGACACGGATACAAAGCCAAGGTGGCCAAAATTGTCTCCTAGTCCCTGCCCAACATCCAAGTAGCTTGTGGCCAGTCACTAAAGCTACACGCCCTGAGCCCCAGCTGGGAAGCCTCAGCAGGCCCCGGCAGAAGATCCAGGGCAGGAGATGTCCACACTCCCCAGGGTCAAGTTCCCTGATTCTCCTCTAAAGACGCCCCAGGAGAACAGCTGGGATGGTGCCAGTGTCTGGCTCAGCTGCTCTAGGGGCTTTGTGTGCAAGAGGGGGATTTCTGCTGTCCTTCACCATTGATTATCACCAAAGGCCAATTCCACACTGTCAGGCCAGGCTCCCTCAGGCTGCAGGAGCAGGCGGGTCACAGGAGAGCCCAGAGGAGAGAATCTATCCCTGCTGGCATCTCATCTGGCCATGAGGGGAGTTTCAGGCACAAGAGGAACATAAGCACTGTGTTTGGGTAGGGAGGGCATGGGGCCAGCAGTAGAGCCCCCACCCCTCATGGGGCATCCATAGCTACGTCCCGGGACACTCTAGAAATATTCTGGGTTCTCGAGATGGACCGTGGTTGGGGCGCAGGCTCGGTGTGCACTGGCCCTGTTCCTTACGGGCACCACATGATCCGGAGCAAAGTCGGGTGTGGCCAGAGCACTGCAGGGTCTGAGCAGCACCAGAGCCTCGGGCCCAGAGGAACCCCGAGCAGAGGGACTGGAGTATTGTGGTGGTGATCAGTTCTCCTGAGCACAGATCCAGAAGCCCCTCTAATATTTATACTACGGATTCATCCTTATGCATGGAAACACAGCCTGTTCATCTCTCTGCCTCAATATATCTGACCTCAAAATTCTCCTTCGGATCATCCCTCCCCTGCTGCATAGTCTTCTGACTCTTTTCCTAACCCCTCCTCCCTCCCCCCTCCCCACCCCTTCCAGGCTCCCAAGCATCCCCCATCTCTCCCTTCCACCTTTCCCAGCTCAGCCCAATGTGCTTTTCCATCTCTCCTGTAGGGGGCACCCTGCTTATTACCCACCCTCCCATGAAATGAATATCTATGTTTGCAAAAACAAAAGAACCTTATGTGGTAATATTGATTGGGGATCCAATAACTAGGTCAAAACTCTAAGCCAAGGGACTGGGAAGAGGGTGTTGACTCAGCCCTGCCGAAGCCGCCCCTGCCCCTCTCTGCGGCCAGCCCATCCCAGGGTGCTTCTTATTGATCTTCAGAGGATGCAGCTGAGCAGAGAGAGGGGACCCAAGAACACTCACATTGGCCAGGCTATGCTCCCTCTGAGCCCTTGGCAAGTGGTGAGTGCTGGGGGAGCCCCTGCTTCCGTCCTCTGTCCCTGAAGATAAGCAGCTATAGAGGAGATGCGTGTGGGAGGAACCTGTCCTCTAAAGGGGCTGAGTGACCCCCTAATGTCTAAAGAGGTGTATCTACCTCATGTCCAGGAACTTCTGGCTACAGATCAGCAGCTGACAGGCCTACAAGGGACAGCCCTGGTCATTGAGCCTTAGTGGCTATGCCTGCCAGCCAGGCCTGCAGGGACACCAGCACAGTGTGACCCAAACCCAGTCACCTCAGCCCGTCCTCTACAGAGACCCAGTCCTTACCTCGGCCAGTCACATGGACCACGTAATCATTTCCCACATACACGGCCCAGTGCTGATATCTCACTGCGGGAGGGGCGAATTTCCCACCACGGAAAAACTCAATCAGGTCTCCGGCTTTGGGCTCAGGACCGATTCTATTCTACAAAAGAAAAAGAGAGACGGGAAGAAGTGAGTCCTTAACAGGGAAGGTTCTAAAATATTCTACAAGTACCACACCTGCAAGGAGTCCAGCCCAGCCACAGATGAGCAATATTCCCCCTGCAGGATATGAAGAGGTAGAAGCTCCCCTCACCAAGAGAGTAGACACTTTTCCTGGGGTTGCTGGACAGGGAATGAGGCTTTGGGGACAAAGAGACAGGGTCCCCAGAAGAGCCATAGCGGGGGGCGTACAGGGAGGGGTGCACAGTGGGCGGGAGTCCCCTCCCTGCACGGAGCAAGTCTGTGTCAGCAAGAAAGGACTGATCACGAGGAGGTCTACACTCTACCCCAAGCTGTTGTCTCCCCCATCTGCTGATCCCGGGGTGACCTCGTGTTCCGACCCCCAGACCAGCCTGGGGACACTGAGCTCAGGCCCTGCCCACATGGGCCTCACTCCTGGGAGTCAGAGCTGCCCAACAGAGGAGGGGACTCAGGGTCAGGAAGAGCAGGAGCCTGTCAGCCCCTCCCCCGGGAGAGACGCCAAGACTGTATCTGAGTGTTTCCCCCAGTGCACCCCGAGACCCCCACAATCACAGGGGCCTGCCCGGGGCAATGCAATCTGGGTTCAGGCAAGAGGCAGATGGGGGGACCCAGGGGGAGCTGGAGAGCTTGGGGGGCTGTGCCCCTGTGGAGCAGCATGAGCAGAGAGACTGTGCCCTGGTCCCCTCAGAATGGGGGCCCCTTCACAGGAGTCTCTGGGGGTGCCCTGGATCTGGCCACACCGGCTTTCGCTGCCTCAGCAGAGCCGGGTGCCATGAGCAGGGGTTGCATTTCTGGGGATGGGGAGGGCGCTGCCCACTGAGGCTCAGGGAGAAACGATGGGACAAGGCCTTGGACCCGAGGGGTCTGAGTCAACATAGGGGCGGCAGAAAGATAGAGCGAACACTAGACCCCTGAACTTGGATTAGCGCCAATTTTCTGATTTTAAAATGAGGGTCTGTGGAGACTTACAGAGGCCATTTTCGTCTCGGAGAGATTCGCTGCCTGAGGTTCAGCCTTCGTTGCACTGCAGAGTTTTATTTTCGCTCAACCGTGCCCACGTGCACCTGTGTCATAAATGAGGCGCATCAAAGTTCACACCAAAACTGCTGTGTCCCCAAGGCAGGGTCGTGCCCAGTAGGCACAGAGACGCAGGGGTTAAGCAGAGGGGATATCGGGGTTCGAGGTCAGAGTCTGGAGGGGCGGAGGGTGAGTTAGAGCCGAGGTATTACCTTTCACTTTCTATACACAGAGCTTCAAACGAATGATTATTAGGGAAAGGGCTGTGTCCTACATGTAATCGCTCGTCCCTCCTAGTCATGTTCCTGATAGAAACTGCCCCGTTCTGCCTTTGCCTCATCCAATCTCTCTTCAACCCGTTTTGCCTCTGTGACAAGAGCCGTCCACCTTACGTGACCGACATCCAAACTGAGGGAGACCGGGGATCCCCAGCATCAGGCCTTTTGCTGGAAATATCTGAAATGATTCCAGACCAGGCAGTGTGGGGAAAGGACAAGAAACACACAAAGGGGACAAGAAACACAAAGGACAGTGACTGTAGCACTGTGGCACTGTCACCCCGATAATCGGTTTGATCGAGTGGGCACCAGAAACGTTTCCATTGTGGGACCTGTTGTTACTGTTTTTGGCATATTGAATATGCCATAGGGAGCTTGCCAGGCTCTGCCGTGCAGGCTAGATACTCTCGGTAGCTTGCCAGACTCTCTGAAAGGGAAGAAGGAATCAAACCCGGGTCAGCCACGTGCAAGGCAAACACCCTACCCACTGTGCTATCACTCCAGCCCAGGACAGGGACAAGAATGGAAAAAAAAACAAAAGGGAAAACACAGAAATGCTTAGATATGGATTCCATCCGGGATATCGCAGTGAGCGGGTCCTAGCACACTTTGAAATTCCTTCTCCCCCTCCAGAGAATGCCAAAGTGCTGACCCCAAACAGCCCTTGTTAGCCCCATCAGGCATATCCTCAGGATTGGACTCCAGGCACCAGGTCAGGGGCAGCCTGTTCCTGATGCAGGATCAGAGCAGCTGAGGGGGGGAGGGCGGGGTGCAAGAAGCAAAGAAGGAGGCCTGGTTTGGTGTGGGGACAGGGCTGCTCTCCTGACTCTACCCCTTGGATTATCTTTCTGGGCCCTCTCCCAGTGAGTCCCACTTACACAGAGCAAGGACAGAGGATGGGGGGGGGAGGGGGAGTCCTACGAGAGCCGCCATTTTGCCCCGCCCAGGCCAAGCAGCTCTGGCACCAAAACCCCTAGGAACGTCCCCACAGTCCCCAGTAACTGAACTGCCCCATGGGGGTTGGATGCCTGTGGGGTCTCAGGCAGTGCCCCTTGTCAAGGACGTGGTGCCGCGCAGACCCTAAGTTTGTGGGGACGATGGTGTCCGAGGTGCTAAGGCCACACCCAGGGCTGCTCTGAGGCCTTAGCTATGACCGGAGCCACGACCAACCTACTACTGACCCTGCACACAGCCGCGCCTCACCCAACACTCTCTCCCACCTGAAACCAACAGTCTAATGGCACAGTTTCCTGAACACTTACCAAGCCGCTGTCCTGCCTCCAAGTGACCTGCTACCCTGGGTCCTGCCTCTAAGTACAGAGCACTCTGTTTCACTTTCAGAAAAGTTTCAATTTCTCTTTCACCCTCTCAGGCATGTAAATATTTTAAATTCCGCATCAGCATTTCCTGTCAAAGCTGCCATTTCCTTCTCCAAGCAGGGCAGGACCCGCCCAATGAACACCTGGACCAGGAAATGAGACAGAGAGAGGAGATATTGGACATCAGGGACTGAGTGGAAGATGTGCTGTGGTCGAGGTCAGGGAAGAGACCAAAGTCAACCCGTCTGGGGGCCGGACACAGTGCAAGGGGGACGGCACTTGACTCAGATGAAGCCAACCCAGTTCCACCCAGACACTGTCTATGGTCCCCTGAACACCACCAGGAGAGACCCCTGAGCCCAGAGCAGGAGGGGCCCAACCCCCATCCCAATACCCAATGTGCAGGGAGAGGAGGGGAGGGAAAAAACGGGCAGCAGGAAGGGGAGCGGAAGGGGAGAGTCTGGGCAGGGAGGGAGATGCTGCAAGGAGCCCCACACTCAGCCCCCAAATTGCCCGCTCTGAGCAGAACGAACCTCATAGGGCAGGACCGATGGCAGTGGGACCCACCGGGGTCACATGCCTCAGAGACACATTCCCTATTCCCATCTACACTTTCCTGTCCCTTGCCACCCGCAGGCCTGCCAGACCAGCTGACAGCCGAACAGGTCGAGAGGGAAGGTGAGGATCAAAGAAACTACAAGTGGTTGAGAGGGCTGAGTTCTCATGGAATAGCAACATTGATCTCTATTTCAGACAGCCTCTTACACATCTCTATAAGGAACTTGGCAGGTAAAATCATCCATTGTAATTGCAAAAAAAAAAAAACATATTCCAATGACTACTCCACGTATCAGAGGTGGCGAAACAGAGAGCTATGCCAAGGACACTTGGCCCTCTGAGTGAGGCAGCTCCCAGACCTAGGTCCACTTAAGGACCCTGCATAAGCAGGCAGCTCCCCGCACAGGCCTATAACCCAGGACGGTTCTGCCAATGGACAAGTTTATTCAGTGCCAAAAACCTGAAAAGACCCCTCCAGGCATCTTACTTCAGGGACTCGGGGTCAGGAAGCCAAGGCAGACAAGGGAGATGGCGGAGGGGCAGGAGTCAGGAACTCAGATGCAGGACGCTGGTCACAGTGATGATGATGATGACAAAGATGGAGACTAAGGCAGTCTGATGCCATTGCTGGCCCGGCCTGTGGTGTGTGAAGCACAGGTGACCCCCGGTGCAGCGCTGCTCCTCACCAAGAGATGCCATCAGGAGGGGACACCCCCGCTTGTTTCTTCCCCCCATCAGGGTCGGCACCTGGTTGATAGTAAACCCTCAGTAATGGGGACACATCTTAGCCCTACAGAAAGACTGGAGGAGGGCGTCAAGGTGTGAAAGGAGAGAAATTCCTAGGGGAAGGAGATGGAGTCTCTGGCGCCTGCTCTCCAGCACCCCAGAGGGAACCAGAGCACCCCCTGGCCCGAAGTCAGGAAGAAACCAAGCCCCTTCCCCAGCTGGCCCACACCCAGAAACATATCTGCACCCTCGGAAACCCCAACCCACTGCCGTCTGGTGTGGACGAGGTCGTAGGCCCCAGCTGGCCCACCCACCGGGTCCGACTCTCTGCTCTCTCACCCACCATGGGCCGCGCCCATTGCAGTGATGTAAGGAGATTCCGGACCTTCCCATCCTCCCTTGGACCATGACTGCAGCAAGAGCAGGAATTTATATCTGTTGGGCTCTTTGCCAAGTAACAGATTTAGACAGATAGGAAAGGGCTGCTAACAGCTACAGTGCCTGATGGGGTCCAGTATGCATGTCCAGCCCCACACAGCCCCACAAAAGTCCTCATGGCCTCCCTGAGCAGCACTGGCCTCAGCCCTGGTGTCCTCTAGAACAAGCCTCGTGCCCCTCCAGTTAGAGTTTAGACCTGTTACAGACTTTGATTAGAAGCAGATGGGCTTAGAATATCGAATCTTCCTAGTGAGAACTGGAGTACCAGAGACTTCTCAGGGAGCTTACCATCCCCAACTGCCAATCTCTGACTCACACGCTGACCGCTCAGTGATTCCCCACTGACCCCAGTGCCCAGAGTGAGGCTGAGCCCGCAGCGAGGGGCCTGCTCTCATGAACTGCCCTTTCTTCCCACATCAGACGCCAACAGGGCTGCACACCAGGGGTCCCCGCACCCTTCTAAGCATTCGTTACCGGCCAGCACCGCCCGCACAGCTCAGAGACCCTTGACCTCAGGGACAATTTTCAGCCTGGGAACAGCTCAGGGACCTGCAGGCAGCAGCTGTGCAGATCAGGGGGTGGAAGGGTCCCCGGTCTCTTGGGGTCAGTCACCCTCAGCACCCGCACATACCCCAGCCCAGCTGCCCATCAGATCTCCTCAGTCAGACTCTCATAGAGCAGCTTGTGGGCCCTCTCGTGCATTCCTAGGCCACGGGGCTGATGTTGTCACCTCGAGGCACAGACAGGTTTACAGACAGTGCTCAAGGAGCCCAGAGCCAGTGCGGGGACTCTTGGCCACTGACAATGTAGAGCTACAGCCCCTGGGACTCACCCAGCGATGCCCCGGGCCAATACCCAGGGCCAGTTCCAGTATCAAACATTCATCCCTGGGGGCTGTAGCGATAGCACAGCAGGTGGTGTGTTTGCCTTGCACGCAGCTGACCCTGGTTCGAGTCCCGGCATTCCATATGGTCCCCCAAGCACCACCAGAAGTAATTCCTGAGTGTATGAATTAAGAGTAACCCTTGTGCATCGCCAGGTGTGACCCTAAAAGGAAAAAAATAAATAAAAAAAAAACTGAATCCCTGGCCCAGGGCCACCTCCCTGGCCTCTTGGTCCCCTTTGGTTTGTTTTGCTTTTATTTTTATGTCTTCGTTTTTGCCACAGCAGAGATGTTTTGGGGCTACTCCTGGCTCTGGTCTCAGGGGTTCTGCCAAAGGTGCTCCTGGAGGGACCTTTTCACCACCAAAGCATTTTCTCATTGACTGAGCTCTCTGAGCCCTGGAGTCATCCTTGAATGTCATCCTGTCACTTATCAAAGGTGCATCTGTGCCACTTTGGAGCTGTGGGACAGCTGGCTGGACACAGGGACATTCTCCTTGGACCCCTCCCACTCCTCCACAAACAGCTCAGGGATCGCTGTCTGTATCCACCAGTGCAGAGGATGCTCTAAAGGTAGTTTGAGTCAGGACACAGGAACATAGGAAGGAGGCGAGGACTCTTGTGTGTGCCATGGACTGTCCTAGGGCCCAGCCTCTGTGCGGCCCAGGATGTGGGTGCAGGGGGAGGTGCTCAGGCAGCCCCTTGCAGGTGACAGGGCGCAGAGAGCACCAGCAGCTGCCCCACGGCCCTGGGGAGGCCTGTGCCAGCCCCTCATGGCCAGGTCCCCTGGAGGCAGCCAGGCTCATCCCCACCCTCTGCAGGTTCTGGGGAGAGACCCCTCGCCCAG